TATTAATTGTATATTATTAATTTAAACAATTTTATTGTATACAGTTATCCCAAGTTAATCAAGAATTAAATTTGGCATTGGCTAATACTAAAGAAATCTCAGAAGAGTCAAAGAGAGCTAAAATACAATCTCAGAGCATTCTAAATGAAAGTTACAATTTAATTGAAAGACATGATAAATTTTTAAATCCTTCAGGAGTTCAATCTACTGATGTTGCAACAAAAGTTGATGAGGTAATATATCATATTTAATAAAAATGACTGAACATGTGAAATATGATTTGTAAATTTATTCTAGGTTCTGAAGTTAAATATAAACTTAAAACCTGAACAATTAAGTCAACTTTCTGAAGACATAAATAAGACATTATCTCTACCAAAAAATATTGATATAATTATTAATGAAACTGCTGGTGATTTGTCGTTAGCTAAAATGCTAAATGAAGTTGCTGAAAAGAAACAGTAATTTATAAATAAAAAAATAATATTTTTTTTATTTTATTGCATGTTAATATTATATTAATTTAGGATGGCTGCCAAAGATATACTTCAAGTTGCTGAACGGGTTGAAACAGCTTTAGCCGAAGCAGAAAGTATACAAAAGAAGGTCGATGATGATATATTAATAACGAACCAGAATATTTTGGATGCAAATAATAGCATAACAAATGTTAGTAACCTATATCTTTAATTAAAATGTGTAAACGTTACCATTACTATCTGATACATTTTATACTGTGATATTTATTCAACTTGTATGTATTATTTAGGTTAAAACAGAAACAGGTGTTACCCAAGAAAATGTTCAGAAAGTCTTAAATGAAATCAATGTTATAGAAAGTAAATTGAAAACGCTACAAACTGGGTTTTTAAAAAATGTTAGGGACACTAATGAAGTCAAGTCAGAAGCGAGCACTTTGATACAAGAAGTAGAAGATACTGAAAAGAAAGCATCACAACTATTAGCTTTATATAATGATGCTAATAACAAATTAGACACCCGTGCACAAATTGCAAAGACTACAAAAAATAATTCACAATTTTTATTGGAAAAAGCTAGTCAACTGTCAGCCAATACTACTTTGAAATTAAGAGAACTAGGAGGTAAGAAAATTAAGTTATCAATAATCTAACAAAAATAAAGTTTTCTACAATTAAAAATACAAATAGATAGGCAATGTTGATTAAAGCTGTATTAAAAATAAAAACTAAACTTATTTAAGTGTGATCATTTATAAATTAAAAAAGCCTATTTCTAGCATACTATACTAACTCACAAATATTTTTAAACATATTATAGGCACTATATATGAGTAAAACATAGACATAATTGGATAAAAATTATTTGTTTAATTGGTTTCAAAGATTTTAAGTATGAAAAATTAGATTTGTATGACACAACAAGCATTTTGATTATTTTTGATACCTATTTATTTCAAGTATTCTTTTTACCATATACATTTTATGAAATTACATAATAGGTACCACAACACTTAATAATATTTAAAATTTCATAAAAATTTTAATATGTTCATTAATAGTACCTATAACATATTATAATTTATATTGTAAAAAATAAAAAATTTGTTTTATTTTTTTAGATGCCGAACAAATACTTATTAATCAAGAAGAATCAATTTCAAAACTTACTAAAGATGTAGATGAATTATATAGTATGATGTCAGAAAATTTAGATAAAATCAGTTCGCAAGCCGATCATTATCGGACGTGCAATAATTAATAAAAATAATTGCAATAATACTTTATTTCAATTGTTGAGTGTCATATATTTATTTTAATAGTTTACATTTTTTAAATCATGTTTATTTATTTGACTTATTTATGTACTTTGCACACTGTATTATATTTGATAATATTATGATATTTATAAAATAATTGTGTTCATTACATTTAAAATAAATATAAACTAGGTACTTAGTTTCTGACTGAGAAAATAATGTTTCATACAAGAAAAAAATATTTACAGTAACTGAGTATGATGTAAATGTTTGATTATATCTAATTTTAAAATTGTTATTGTAATTGTTTATAATTATTACAATATTTATATTAACATAAATACATTTTGTGAGTTTAGTCTTAATAAGAAATTATGTAATCAACACAATATTTCTTTTCTGAATTTATCACTAATAATAATTATAAGTTATTATCTATATATCTATATTAACTACCTATCTATGATAATCCAACATTTTAAATATTAAAATATAGTTTTCTGTGTAAAAATCCAAGTACATACACTAGTACACTATTTTAGACTTTAGTTTACGTATAATACATTTATTCTTATCTATCTAATTGACTTCTTATTACACAATACAATATACTTAAATACGTTACTTTTAAGTCGGTGTGTTAAGTTACGCAGACACACAGTAGTATTCTGAATTCATAGTATTGTACTCCGAAACTCGGATCCAGCTTAAAGTACCTGTAAAAGAAAAAAAAGATACACTGAAGCAGACAAAAATGATGTTTAAAATTTCACTTAGGTGGGTTTGTATTGTCTGTAATGTTTGTATGCATCTCAAATAGTCAAATACCTATATACAATAATTTCCACATTACTACGAGATTACAGTGTTGACAAACGATCCAGTATGATAACTCATAATGTAGGTACAAAAAATAAATGTACTTATATAGTTATATAAGTATAGTAAGCTGTTGATAGCTATTAGCTATAACAATTTTTGCATATTACTGTTTTGACGTTTGACAAGCATCTGGCTTATAGCGGTATAGCCTTTAGAACCTAAAGTTTAAGTAGTATGTATTTGTTTGTTCACAGTACTTTTCAGCAGAGAGATTAAAAAAGTTTAATTGGAAATATTCTACTCATGCACATTTTTTTTCGTATAACACAAAATAATAGCGATTTTCGTGAAAATCTCCCTTAAATGTTTTTAATTTCCCTACTGAAAATTGCTGTGAACATACAAATATATACTACTATTTAGTTTAAGTAATAATACGTTAGCACAGGTTATTTACTTATTTTGAACCCATTTATTTTATTATCAACTGAATTTTAAAGTGATATTGTTCTAAAATCAATATAGTCATTGCATTACATCCATTTGTTATTTTCTTTGATTAAGATGGTGTCTTCAAATCACGAATTTATAATTTAGTAGATATTATAATTGTCTATAATTATGTGTAAATAGCCCATGATAAACGAGTGGATAATTATAAACATTATAAACGAATATTTGTCTTTGACTTTGGAGAAGAATAGAATGAGTTGAATTTGTAATTGATGACATGATTGTTTTTTATTTTAATGAGCATGCATAAAAACAATAAAAATATTTTAGGGTATAATATCCATAATAACATCACGTAAATGAATACATTAGTAATTGGGAAAAATTATGTAATCATAGATTGGTACCTATATAACTAAGTAGTAAATGTATCTACATACAATCAACCAAAATGAACGAATGCCAAGTATAAATTAGGTACCTATATATTCAGAAACTAAAATATTAACTGTAAACAGGTAAGTACATTACTTTATTTTGAGTATAAAATCACTATATTAATATGTACTTACAGTGTAAATATAGGTAAGTATATCGAGAGAGCTTAATTAAACCAAAAATTTATTCAAATACATTTATATATACATAAAAAAAGCAATAAATTCGATTTATTAAAATGTCGAAGGTCGAAGAATAAATTAACATATTTAGCGTCAAAAAAGACAGACCAAAGATAAAACCAATAAAGAATTAAATTAAAAATAATAATAATAATTTTCTTACCTTTCTCCTATTAGGTAGGTACCTATAGTGACTTATACTGTTTTATTTAATGATTTTTATTACCTATATAAATACCGTATAGCAGAAAGGTTACTTATTTCTTCCTTTTTATACGTTTAAGACTCGTAAGTCGTAAGGTGAAATCGATAGGTAATTAGATAATATTTTAATAGTTAAACAAACGGAATAGATATAATATATTACCTACAATAATTGTTTTAAAAAATAGATGACTCTGCGGAATCAATATAACTCCAAGATTTGTCTACATTGGTGTTATCGGTAAGTCACTATAAACAATGTCCCCTACATGAATATAACATAGTGTAGGTATAGGTATGTATTTTTTAGTTCCTAAATTTTTTGCTTTTATTTTTTTTAATCGACGATTCAGCATTGGTGTGTAGCAGTGTTCAATTACCTACGATTGTAACTGGTGGTGTAGGTGTAGATACTGCACAATACGGATAATATTATTCCGGCGTGGTTTATGCATGTCAAAAGAATGTGACGATTAATCATATTCTTATTCTATTGTTTTGTTAGTATTTCTTACGAGTGTTGACTGTAAATACGTTTTTGCGTGTATTTTCATACTGTAAAGAAACGTGAATTAGCTAATTGTTTATATGTATATTGTATATTGTATAATACCTATCTGTGTATGCATTATGTATGTAGAGTAGTTATAATATATGGGTGATCTTTTCATCTATATGAATATATTCGTTGACAGTTTAAAAAGGTATATTATTATTTATTATACAAGATAATATTATAATGGCGTTAAAATAACATTCGTATAGTTGCATGTCGATTTTCAGTCAATGGTCTTAACAAGAATGATTACTTGAAAATTGAAATGTTATACAAGCTATATATATTTTTACTGATTAATAATATCGGTAAATTATTTATTATTATTTGCTTAAATATTGTAATAGGTAGATGCCAATAAATAATTCAATCGTTGTTTAAAAAATCGAATTTCTCAGATCCAGCATTGATAGATGAAATTATTGTTATTATTGTTAACATTATAAATTATAACACGTCTTATATCTATACGGTTATCGATCTGTTATCACTGTTATCAGTGTTTTCATGAGGAAACAGGAAAATAAATAGTAATTACTAATTACTTGTAATTATTACAGTATAATACAAAGAGTTACGTAAATTATTGTTTTAAATCATTCTTAATGTGCTACAAATCTAAAATACTTTTATTTATATTTTCGTATTTCTTGTTGATAAGATAAAACAATAGTTATTTTCTTCTTAAAAGTAGCAAGTATACAGTAGTATTTGTTGTCTTCAATTGAGTGTGTCATAGATTAACACAATTGTCTGTGAATCTTCGTTTACATTTTGTAAGTTCTTTCTACCATTTTTATTCACCCTAGTGCAGATTTTTTTTTTTTAGAAAAATCATGAGAAAATAATTTTATAAACATGTATTTGCAAAAGATGGTTTAAATTGAGCATAATTATTTCATATACAATTTTATCAATATGAGAATTTGAATGCACTATTGCATGTAAAAAATTGTATTCATTTATGGAAATATTATCAAATTATGGTGAAATCCAGAGTGTATTCTGAAGGTATACCTTTATTTGAGAAATATATTTTGATATTAAATTTTCATAATTAGATAGAAAAAAAATACTTATATAAATATATGTTTTAAAACGAGGGCCATTTCAGATGTAATAATACCGAGTTTATGTAAGTACTTTCACGTCCCCAGCATCACATTTTATAAGACACTCTGAATAAATATTTTTGACAGTGATAAAATAAAATAATTTGATTTCGATATTTTATGGTTAATGTTACCTCATCTTAAAATATAACTGAGCTTTTTGAAAGATTAATCAAGTACTTTAGCTTTTAGGTGATCTTTCAGAAACAAATAGATGTGTAACACTAAATATTTTCTTCGTAAAGTTTTGAATTTTCCCTTTTTTTTTTTATTTATAAATATTGGTATATTATGTAATTAGATATCATGATATAATTGAACAATGAATAACATAAGTTATTATTTTATGAAATTACAATTATCACTAGGGGTGAGGGCAGATGAGTGATGCCTTTTAGACCAGAAAATATTAATTTGAATAGACAAAAATAACATTTTTTTCTTTCCTTGAAAAAAAAAAATAAAATATTTATCAATACTTATGCAACAATTATTTTATTGTAAAATATATATTAATAATATTAATAATAACAAAATTTTAAGTTATAAATGTGCTTAATAAGACTTACATTTTCACGAATAAATTTAAAAATTCAATGTATAACAAACTAGGTAATTAAGTAATTTATTTTACAAATGAGTATTAATAACTTTTAAAAGTATAAATAAATTATCATGAGCCTCCTAGTTTTAATTTAAATATTTAATCAGGTGAATATACAAAATTTAGTTAGACAAGTGGGTGGTATACTAGGTCTCAAGTGGAACTTTTTATTGAATAAATTACTATAATCAATTTAATTAAGTTCGAATTTAATGATAACCCATTGTGCATGAATAAAAAAAATTTCGAGCAAAAAATGTTTAAATTTTAGTAATTATGGTTACAAAACAATTATTTTATTAATAATAATATTGGATTTGTATAAAAATTCCTATTTTTCTTTAATTTTTTTGTTTGTTTTTTCCAATTGTAAAAAAAAGTACTGTCAATTTTTAATTTGGATCAATTATAAGTACAAACTAGATAACATTTTCTATTTAAAACTACCTTAAAGTGTAAATTGAAAAGTATTAAAATACACATAATTTTTTTTTTACAAGAGTTTGAAAATTAAATTTTGACAGCATTTATTAAAGTCATAATAGTTAACAAAGTATTTTGTATTCCAAATTTTTGTAACCAAGACTTGAAAATTTGACATGAGATTCCTTATGATTTGACCTTATTGGAATAAAAAAAAGTCAATAGTTTGTCATTACTTTTACTAATATTTTCTTTACTCAAAATATTTAGATTAAATTTAAGCTATTTATATCAGTATATTAGTATTGATTTATAAATTAATAACAACTAATTATATTACAGTGTAAGACTAAGAATATCTAGTATTTAAAGGTTTAAATACTAGACACTCTATTCAAAGAATTTAATTTTAGGTAAATTTGTATCTTATTTCCAAAAAACTGTACGCTATTTAGGGGTATTTGCTATTAAGATGTATACATTAAAGAAGTGTTCAATGTATATGAAAGTATGAAGTAATATTTTAATAACTATTATAAAATATAGATGGTTTATTTTTCAAAAATTAGTTTAACCTGCCATATAAAAATTAATTTCTTTTATTAATATAAATATATAGTATAAACATAATTTTTCTCTTTTTTACATAATATAATGATTTATAATTGATTTTAAATTTAACACATCCATTGTAGTTACCTACTCAATAACAAAGTATACTTGACATCTGCACTTAATACATAGTATAGAGACTTCTCCAGCTTTTTTATTATTAAAAATAAAATGTTTACGTTTCAGTTAATCAAGACAGATATCTTATTCTTAAATAATGGTTTGTGTACCATGTGTGCTTGTGCCATTGTTGCTCTTCTTATGGGGTATTATCAAGCCTATGTTAAACTGGTTCAGAACACCAGTTGAAAATTCTGAAGACCAAAATAATGCTGGCGATGATCAAGTTTGCTCATTGCTATCATCCTGCCCGTGCATTAATAAAAACAAAAAGTCAACCGAGGATCAAGTAAACAAGACAAACACGAGTGAAACATCACTCAAAGAACCACTTGAAACATCTGATACTGATAAAAAGAATCTTTAAACATACATACTATTACAGTAATTTATTATAAGAATGAATTTTGTTATAATTGTGATTGATTGAATTATTTTGTGGTTTTATTAGTTTAAATAATTATTTTTATTTAAGAGCTGTTGTATGTAATTAATACAATGTTATATTTTATGTTTTAATGTCCTATACTTATTTCTCTACCATAAATAAATGCATGGGCTATTTCAAGTTAGAATCAAAAATCTTATTGAAAATGTTACTTTAGATTACTAGTTTAAATATAATTTGGTATTGTGTATATCAAATTATTTTATCAAGGTTTTATTAACATTTGTCATGTTATTTTACTTATTACTTGTGATAAATAATCATTGTATATCAGTAATTACATTTAAATCAGTTTCATCATTTTCAAATACACATTTGATTACAATTCAATTTTAAAACTTTAAGTTTGTATAAAAATAGGAATCATACCTCTTTATATTTATATTGTTTAGTTGTGTATAAATTATGGGTAAATATAATGGTAACTAACTTAACATTCCTCTCTGCACCAATTAAACATATCCCTAACACTTTATTGTTTAATATAAATGTAATTTGTTTGTTTATAATTATTTTATTTTATCATATACCTTTTACTTTTCTAATAAATAATTATACTTAGACACTCTTCTGATGACATTTTAGTTTTATTTTAATAATAATGTACAATAAATTCATTATTGTATTAATTATTTATTAAGTAACTAAACATAAATATTCTATGATTGTAATAACTTATATATTTGAATTTATTTTATACTATTGTTATCAGTAAGCCATGATTCACTGTGTAATTAATCAAATATCGTTTTTAATATATATTTAAAAACTGTATTATTAATATATACCTATAATATGAAAATAAATTAATACAAATATTTATGTAGTTGGTATATGATTTTAACTGATTGAAAGGTATTGTTTTGTTAGCTACTTAATAAATAATAAAAAAATATTAAGTGTATTTTATATTTTTTATTTTTATTATCAGATTTTTCTGTTATACATACAATTGATTTTTTATTCATCATAAATTCATAACCCTGAACTATAATAACAGAATAAATCATTTTCCTGACAATGCAGGTTATGTTTTGTCACTGAGTTACATTTATTTACTTTACTGCAATCTATACTGTAAATTGTAGTGTTTTATCTGTCTTATTTTTGGTAGATATTGAATGTTGCATTCATGAAAAAATCATTTTATAATCAAAATGCTTAAGATCTGCTATAAACCACTTTGTTTACCAGTACCAATAACATCAAAATACATTTTATTTAACTTTTCAATTATTTTATAAAATAATTCTTAAATCATATTAGTGTTGCAAACATAATTATAAAAAATTAGAAATTATCAATATTATTTGTTACACCTAGCATGAAATTTAATAACAATTTATTAAATTGTTTTAATAATTTATTATTTTCAGTTAAAATTTAAATATTATTTGGTAATACCTATAACTACTACCATTTACTCATTTTTTTTTTTTTTTTGTCAAAATATTAATCATAGTACAATTTGTTAGGTACATAGTTTTGTTAAAATAAATTACTGTAAGCTTTTCTCCACTTGTCATAAGAGTTTTTTAAAAAATAATCGTAATACAATATATATTATTTAGGGCGTTAATTAAGCTGTATTATTTTTTTAATGGATAATATGTTTTTTTTTTATAAAAATCTGCCCCGTTTCATAAATTTAACTTAATCTAACATAGTAATAGATATTATTTTTTATTTCGTAAATACCAGTAAGAAGATGTTTTGAGAAAAGTGATTGATATAGGCAAAGGCAATCATTTATAAACTATTTTACTTGGACAAAGAATTTGATTAAAAAATTATTGAAATGGATTTTAAATTTCTGGTTTTCTAAATCAATAAAAATTTTGTAATACTTATTTTGAACAATTGAAGATTTTATAATGTTTTGAAGTTAGCATTTTAAATTATAAGGTTTTCTCTATACTTTTTAAAAATAATTTATCAATCTAAAAGAATGGTGTTATAAATTATAGTTAAATATAAAATATTTAGGTATGTATAAATAACAATTAACATTTTTATTTTTTATCATACATAACAATAAATATGTAGTAAATTCTAATAGTAAGAAAAAAATTACCTACAATGTTATTAAATCAATAAATATATAATTTTTTATAAGAGTTATAAAAACAACCTGTCTGAAATATGATTAATAATATATTAATACCTATTACCTAGTTCTAGTTGGCAAATTTCTAAGTTATTTTATATGAAAGCCTATTTCATTTTAAATATTTAAATAAACAATATAATAATAATATACCTATACATTTATAATAAATAATAATTATTAAAAATCAACTAAAGATGATAAATATAATATACCAAATAAAATTTTTTGATTTGTTAAGTTATTATAAAAACTGTACTATACTGTGAATAAAAAATAAATATATATATTATTCATAGTAACTTTTATAATTCTGGTATCTAAAGTTTTTTTTACGTCATCTAATAACCATGTGTGACATACCTCCAAAACACAATTAAAGTATAGATGTTTTAACATTGAAGTTGTTCATAACTACTACTTACCATACAACAAGTAATACATTTTTTTTTTAATTTGTATTAATTTAATTCCAATATTAAAAATTTACTGATTTCATTACTTCAACCTTAATGATATTATACCTGACTTGAGTTTACTATCATATTTGGCAGAATAATATAACACATTTTGATACAATTATAATTTTCATATAGCTGGAATGAAAAATGTAATGAACATAGTGAAGGAAAAACAAAACTTCTTAAACATTTAATCACTGTTTTTCAGCATACGTTAATTTTAAGTTATTACTTTCTTATCACTAGATTGGAGTTTATTTCAAATACCTACTATTATATGTTTTAAGATACTCCAATTTAAAAATTAATATCAAATACTTCATTTAATGTTTAATTTATCTGTTCAAATCATAGAACTGTATGAACATTTTTAGGAAATAACGAATACAAATTTGTTAACTGTAATTTCAAGTTTCCATTTTTTTCTTTTTTATGCTGTCACTATTATAGAAATCAACAAAAGTACAAACTAGCATAATAAAATAGTTCATAGTAGAAAAAGAAATCGAACAGTGAAAAATACAAATGTTCTAGATATAGCAAAATTTAAAGTAAGAAAAATATCTACTATTTAGTATTTAATAGTTTAGTACAAATTACAGAATTATAGATTTTCAGAATATGATATATTAAGTGGTGTAATCATGGAAATAATTAATGAAAATAATAATATAATTGTATTATCAGGACTACAATTAATGAAATATTGTTGTGATATGCGTACCGCATTAATTGATAAATTTTGCAATGCTGCATTACAATTTTACTGTATGGAACAGTGGCCAATTTACAATCCAAAAACATAAAAAGTCTTCATAACACTTAAGTCAATAAAAAGATGGGGATGTCGCTTACCTTATTTCCCACCGACTAAACGCGATTACAATAATTTGATTACAGACTACAGCCTTGTTTAACATAACCGTGGTTGTGTTCATACTTATTTATTTATCTTTTGGCGATTGAATTGATAACATGACTGATATCATTGTAAACCATAACAGCGTTTCTTCACTTTCATCTATTCATTTATTTTCTCTGGTATTTACACGTTAATTTCCTTGTCGCTCAGAAGCTTTTGTGCTGTAGTAAAAACTATCCTTTCTATCTGTTACGTAGTGCTCAGAGTGAGTGTTTTGTGAAAATAGTAAATAGGAATGCCGTATCAATATTATGTCAATTTAATATCAAAAGAATATTGAGTTTGTGTAGATGTGTAGTGTATCCAAAATCTACATAACAGACCACATTTTTAGTATTTACACTATTCCATTAGTTGAAATTGAGCTTCTTAAATTATGTTAAAATAAATATTTCAGGATTTTCGACATAATTTTTTTACTTTTCTACGTTGTTTTGAATTTTCTCAGAATGGTTAAGTTGAAATCTGTTGGCTTGTATAGATATTAATTGCATACTTAGTTTTTATAAGGAAACTGAAAAATAACCAGTTGGTTTATTAAAATTACTATGGAAACTAAAAGCACTGAGTCTATAGATAAATCAGGTAAGCACTTATATTTATAATTTTGTATTTTAATAGTTGGTATGTATTAATTAATTTAAATGTTTAAATTTTGTAGATCAAGATGATGCATTCATTGAAAATGGTATGCCTAAAAAAGTTGATAAAAATAATATGAAAGGTAAAAAACGTAGAAAATGTTTACGTGACAAAACAGCTCCAAGACCTCCACATTCTGGTAATTATATATTAATTATTATAATTTTTTTAGTTAATGATTATTTGTTTATTATTTGTCTATATATACAGGATACATACGATTTTTAAATGATAGACGTGAACAATTTCGTTCTGAAAATCCTAATTTACCATTTGCTGAAATAACCAAAGTATTAGCTGCTGAATGGAATCAATTGCCGGCAGATAAAAAACAAGTAATTATATTATAATATGTGTTTTAAAGCATTGTCATGTTATTCATCAATAAAAACAGAAATAAGTATTTAGAAAACTATTAACTAATTATCTATTAGAAAAAAAATGTAAATTATTCTTTTATAGATATTTTGTATTTTAATTTTTTTTAGCATTATCTCTCAGCAGCTGAACAAGAACGAGTTAAATATGTTGAAGAATTAGCCGCTTATAAAAAGACTGATGCATATAGAAATTTTATTCAACGCAAAATGAAAAAAAAAAAAGTTAACACCGAGATCCAAGAAGTTAGTTGATATATTAATTTATTTTATTTTTCACAACAATTTTATGCATTAAAATGAATATAATATTTATAGAATATCATATAATTATTTGTGAAACTTTTTATTTGTTTTAAATAATAAAGTTTAAAAGGTTTTATTATTTTTTTCACATTAGTGCTTTGAATAAAGGTAGTTGTATGAAAAATATATATTAGACTTATTAAAAAAAATGATGTTATGATTTTATGTAATTATTACTTCATTATTAACAATTATTAAATTATTAACTATCTATGTATTTATTTTATTTAGGATCAAGAATTAAAAAAAGAAAAACCATCTGGTGATATAAAATTAAAAAAGGTTTTATTATTTTTTTATTAGTGATTTAAATAAAAATAGTTGCATGATATACATATAATAATAGATTAATAGTTTGTTCCATCTATTTCATTTATTTATACTTTTACAATATCTTACATGCGTACTCAATTGTGTATTATTTGTCAAGAGTTAAAATTAACGGTGTCTTTTTTTTTTGCGATAATGTAGATAAAAATAACATTAATTAACATTTATTATATTGAATTTGGGTTATTTATTTACGGGTGATATTAGTATAATATTATAATTTTCATGTCACCAGTAAACACTAGTGCAGTTAGATAGAAAATACTATAAGATTTTATAAAATAATAAATTCAATATTAATAATTATTAACTATTTATGTATTTATTCTATTTAGGATCAAGAATTAAAAAAAGAAAAACCATCTGGTGATACCAAATTAAAAAAGGTTATTTATTCTATTGTAACTTTGATAATAGATTGTTGCATGAAAAATATATACTACAGTTTAAGATATTATAAAACTACAAAATCATTATTAATAATTATTTATAATTATATATATGTATTTTTAGGATCAAGAATTAATAAAAGTAAAACCATCCAATGATAATAATACTGTACTAGAAATACCCATATTTTCTGACGAATTTTTAAACTTCAATAAAGGTTAGTATTTGTAAAATTTTATTTATTATTGTTTATTTATCATTATTATTTTTGATTTTCTAGGTAGAGACACTGAACTAAGGTACCTTCGCAAAAAAGTAACAGATCAAGAACAAGAAGTATCTGTTTTAGATAAACATATTGAAAATATGCATAATGGTATTGACAAATTAATGGCTAATACTGAAAATTTTAAAGCTGGATGTTCAAAGTATGAGCAGTATTTAATTAAACTACGACCTTTACTTCTAGATGCATTAGCTGACATTTCATTCCCAGGTAAATATTTAAATTGATAAAACAAAAATATTTTTTTACTAATATTTTAATATTTATCTAATAAATATTAAAAATTTGATATGCAAAACCTTTGAATGATCGGAGAATAACAACTTGAATCCAAATTATTTTAGTTAGCCTTGTTACTTTTGTATAATTAATAGTGAAAAATTGTCATAGGATAGGCTGTGAAAAGTTTAACTGCCTGTAGCATAATATTTCCACAGTTTTGTATTTTTATCAGCGTCTTAAATTTATAATTTATTTATTTGACCTCCCCTATAACAGCTGTGGAACAAATAAATATTGTTGGAAATACTTTAATTATAATTTAATTTTTTTTGTACCCTTGGTAAAATAACGTTTTAAAAATCACTAATTTAACAGTTATTTAATAATTTATAATGATAAATATTATGCACAATATCTAAAAATAAAAAATTGTATCTAAAGTCTTTTGATTAATCTTGTTACTTGTATAAAATGAATATTAAATTGGAAGTTGTTTGACAACTCAAAGTTTCTAGCACATAGTGTAACATTTTATTTTATTTTATTATTTTAATTATTTAGTAAGTTAAATTTATAATAGTTAAATTTTTTTCTTTAGAGAACATTGAGCCACCTACCAATGAAACTATTGACACATTTATGATTAATTTAGCCACACTTCTAACAAATGGTACTGATACGGGTACTGATCTTTCTTGGATTGAAAATGTAAAAAAAGCTATTTCTAAGTTGGATTTTTCACAATGTTAAAATAAATTATATTTTTTTGTATCAAACTCTGTCATAAATTATCTGATCATGTTTTTTGTTCTTTGTATTATTTAATATTTTCATGTGATATAGTTTTTATTTCAAACAACAAAAATTCATTCATTTAAAAATATATGTAGTTGTAAATTGATTAGAAATTAACATTTATAATGAATTTATACGAATATTCACAAATGTACACCAATATTATAAATAATTGTATAAGTTAATTTTAAGCACAAGTATGCTCAGGAAGTTTGTGTATATGTGGTAGAAAAAGATGTTTCTTTACGAAATACTAAGCATAAAATATAAACTATAAAATATTGATAACAAAAATGAAATTAAATAGTTATAAATATTTAAAATAATATAGAAGATAATAATAAGATATAACTATGTAGTACTTATATTTATATATATACGATATACCTATTTTTGTAATGTATTATTTATATTAAAATATTTAACATTAATGTACATCATTGTTATTATTAGGGTTTGGATTTCTATGCATTGGCATATTTTTTCTTTTAGTCCTTGTACATTAGTTAACAGTTATATCCACAGTTTCTCTAATATTAAATTGAATAAACAATTTTTTTCAAAACACATATAGTATATTTAGAGTTGTTGAATATTTATAGATTGATGTGGTCATTATATTGACTATAACATATAATTTTTTTCTTTTTATGTTTTTTATTTATCTTCAAGTAAAATCAACTATTACAAACATTTTAGAGAATATTATTTTTAAGGGTATGACATAATGATTTATCTAAATATTATCTCAAAATTATTTAATATTCATTACAATTTGAATGAAAAACTTATTGATTTTCATTTTTAAACCGTGCATAAAGTAAAATTATTATAAAATATAAAACCAAAATGACAAATCCTCAAAAATCACAAAAAACAAATATTGCACTGTAAGTAACCTTTTAATAAGCTTGTAGATTATAATTGATCAAATTGCTTTTTTAATTTAAATTAATGAAAATAAATAAAAAATATATTTTAATTGGGTAGTCAATACAAATTAAAGGTAAAATAATTATAATATTTTCAGTTTAAAATTAAAGTATTTATGTTATTGAATATTTGGTGTATAGAAATTAAAATTAATTGGACTTTTATCAGAGTTATCTGATATAGAATTTGTTGATTATCTGAATCTATTAAATTATCTAATAAATACTAGTGAAGTATTAAATTTACTATCAATAGATTTGACCTTCAAAAATGATTAATTATTAAAAGTAGGTACTAGATAAGTACCCTGTTATAATACATAAATTGATTAACTTAAATAAACAACATTTTTCTACCATTTTATGCTTAAATATAATCATCTAAGTGTGTCCTAAACAGTTTTTTAGGAGATTTTCTTAAAAATTTTTTCAATTATCATTTATGCATCTAAAATGTCCTTAATGTTTGCATAGTTCATATTATACATTATTCTATGTTCTAAAATGTGCATTATATAGTGTTGAGTTGATATAAATGATAATATGCATAATTTATACAATAATATTATATAGTTCACTTATATATCTATAACACTTATAAAATACCGAATTTATTAATATAAAAATCTGATACTTACAGTTTAAATACCTAATTAGATGTTTAAAAAATAATATTAATGTTTAAAAGTATCTATTTATAATAAAATATTTACTTGAATTATTCTACCTTATTTTTTTTAAATATATATTATTCTATATTTTATAACATCTTTAGGTACTAAGAATACTATAGTAGGTAGTTAACAATTTTAGTATAAAGTAAAAGTTAGGTTCTTATTTGATAATAACCAATACTAATGCTAATTTTAATTAATTTATGAATTAAGTAGGTACTAGTTATCTACATATATTTACCTATATTACTAATAAATCTAATAGTTACCGATAGTAGATTCTTTAGAAAACCCATTACAATTATTTGTAATGACAATAGAAGCATTTAAAATAATTATTTTCATTTATTGTTTCAAAATATCCATGTAAACGAAGTAAAATAACGGACAGAAATATTATATGAATGTATACTCAGGAAGTCAGAAATGTATTGTTTATTGGTAAAAATGTCTAGTGTGGATGCCATTTTTTCTGTATTAATTTAATCCAATAATTTTCCCTCACTGCTCAAAAGTTGGCTGGGATTTCAGAATGTGTATAACTAAATTATCGGATTTAGAATTAAATATCCATTACTAAAAATGACTAAAATACCTAAAACCAATTTCATTTAAATCTATACCTAGTTACTGGCGTATTTAAATGTTGACTCCAATTGTTGGTAGGGGTATAATGTTAAAGAATTTTGAATTATTAGCGTTCTTATGACTCTTATTATTAAAGTAATTTATTTCATTTTTGTAATTCAGTAAGTTGTATTAATTTTTTGACGAAAACATTGCATTTAAAAATGTCATGGTGTGTATAAAATATAAGAATGTACGATAAAAGTTTCATGCAAGTATTCAAGGATAATTTTTTTAAGTTACAATAAAATAACTTAAATATATAATTTTTCCATCAAATTCGAAGAAAAACTAAATATATGTCTATAGAAAATACATATATAGTTCAATGATCAAACTTTAAAATGTATTCAAATTTCAAATGTATAACTAATAGAAGGACCCATAATAACATCATTAATACAATTATTTGTCATAGATGTCGAATTGTCGTTCAACCATTTTTTAAATTGTGCGTTCAACCTTGTACAGTTGTAACTATTGTGAATTTATGTACGTCTAGGGAATTCAATTTTTTTTGGAAATTATACAACGTTATATACTTAATTAAATAATTGGTAAATATTTTAAATTTCTGTGTGGGAAGTGTAGTAACATAGCTGTTAAGTGTTGAATACATACATAGGTCTATGTTACTACACTTACTTATATAGTAGTCACTTGAATGGTATCATCAAACTGTACTCCGTAATAAATCATAATAAATTTCACTCCACTTCTGCAACAGTTTATAAATTTTAATATACATATACCTCATATCATGTACTATATACAAGTATATAGTATTGTATACCTGTACACAATAATAATATACATTTTAATATAATAGTAATTATCATAGAACATTATAATATATAACGAAGTAATATCGTTAGAATCGTCTCAATCACATGTCAGAGACTTGTTTACACAATGCGTTTAGATACATTATACATAGGACTGGTAGGTAAGTTTATATATATATATTGTATACAGACTATACTTAGGTGCCCGAGTATATACTACATATAATATATATATATATATATTAGATAGGTACTCGGGACAATTAGATGATGTGTATAGTAGTAATAATAAAGAAATACACACACAACATATATATATATATATACGTATACATTATACACACACACACACACACACACACACACACACA